AGAGATATAATATATACACTACGAGAAATACTGATTTATACGAGTATAATACTAGGAGGAAAGATGATCTTCATGTACAACAATGTAACACATCAGTTTTTAAGAAAAGTGTTATTAATGTGGGCATTAAATTATATAATATACTTCCTTTGGAAGTTAAAAAGTCAAAGGGATGTAATGAATTTAAACATAAATTAAAATTATTTTTATTTGATCGTCCTTTCTATACATTGAATTAGTTTCTTCAACAGGGACATGAGGAAGCATAGCAAGGTTTTTTCAATTAACAAAAAAAGAGAAGAAAAGGGAATTGTAGTAGTTATTGTTATATTTTTAAAATTCTTAGTGATGTTGTAAGGCAAGTACAGTTTTATTTTTAGTCTAATATATTCTAGGATTATAGAGCTTTTAACAATGATGTATTTAGTGAGTTGTCTTGTTCAAGTGTTGCAGTTGTAACAGTATGAATGCAAATAAATATGAATATGAATATTATTGCGTTCATGTCTGTTGGGATACCCATATGACTGCTACTCAGCCAGTCCTTTGGCTTGCTGGTGGCTGCCTAGCAATGGCTGTTTGTCTTGTTTGTTTCGCAGCCATTCACTAGCAACAGCTGTTTCTCTGGCTCTGCAGTTCTTGCTTTGAGCAAGTATGCCACGACATTAATAAAGGCTTTCAAAGAAACAAACATTCTACTGGAAATAATCGAACTGTTGCAACAGATGAAAATATACTACCCACATCACTTTTCGTCAATCCAGTACTCCTTGTTTGTTGCTGTGGAAAAGCTCTCAGTATGCTAAGGGGTTATTCAGTTTAGAGAAATCGTTAACCCAGAGCTCCTTTACTCACTACTGTTACAAGAATTATTGTAGTTACTGTGTATTTTTTTAAGATTAGAAGAGAGTGGCACAGGCCCACAGCATCCTGGCAGCCAGCCCTCTTACACTAACCTCTTGAATGCAAGCTCAACTTATAAGATGAATAAGGTATTAGTAATTCAGAGTCACTCCACTAATGCCTAGTTCATATTAGTCTAGTTGTTTGAAGAGAAGACCTTACAAGACTTCACTGGTGTAAATTATATCTCAAACACATTTCGAGAATATTGGAAAGACTGTTTCTAGTTTCAACTAAAGTTGAAATGAATTTAATGTTTTACTTGCTTTTAACTTATTTGGGTAGAAACTTGAAAAATGTTCACTGAAACTTTAGTCTTGAGTTCATTTAAACAAATGAAAACTTCTTTCTTTCATGGATGTTTCCAGTCTGCTGCCTAGGAAGGTAAACAATGAAGTACAAAAAACTATAATTTTATCTTTCTTTTTATGAGAGTGTCACCTGAACTCTCATACTTCATTTCATTTATTCTTTAAATTCAATAAATCCTTTTTGGCCAAGACTAGGATGTAGAACAAGTCACTATTAAATCAAAACATGCACAAGAACAGTTCACAAAATAGAAAAATAGAACTCAGTCACATACAGAACAGTCATAAAACGAAATTATACATAGTGATAATCAAACCACAAAAAAGTGGAAATTGTTCAAGTTATAATCGATTGAATTACAACCTGTAAAAGTTTACACAACACAACCATAACACATACATTTCACAAAATTTCAAACTTAAGGTATACTAAAAGTTCAATTAACGAATGCAAATATAAAATATGATAATTACATATATCTTATGAGATAAAATAACTGAAGATAACATAGATATTTTCGGTCCTAGTACGGTTACTAATTAATACAGGCAATCAGCTGAGCACCTCAAATCCAGTATAATATTCCAAAATGGATGTTTAGTATTCAGGTCTCCTACCAGTAGCAACTTATGTCTAAGCTTAAGAGCTCAATGATGTCCACATCAATCCAGACGTGGCCTGGCGACTTACAGACTGCTGCAAGTAGCACTTCACTATGATCAATCAGTATTCATTGAAATAAGCAGAGGCAGGCCTACATGGTTGTGGGGAATAACTCGGTAGGTTGAATCGCCTTGAAGGAGACCCACAGAAAACATTGCTTGCAACATCTCTTCTATTGTTGCCTGACATTACTGCAGACTTGGCATATTCCTCTGTTTGCGTGTGTATGGGCCATTACCTAGCAATGGGTCTACGTGCTACAGTATGATATTCCTCAAAGTTCTATGAAAATACATTCAGTGACTGAAAAGATATGAGCGAGGACAGATGGTATGACAAACATAAACCTGTATGTTAATAAATACAAAAAGTATAATGGAAAATATAGAACATAATGTAAAATTATGCTCTGTAGGTTTATATTTCGATTATTTTACTATATAAATACCTTGAAAATTTTTACCTGTGTTAAATCCAGAATATATTTCTTCAAAGTATTTAACCTTGATTTCAGCCATAACTTCATATCTGTTGCCACCTGGTCATTACGGCTGCGGCCTGTGTGCAGTTTGGTAGCCGGCAACCCTATCAGTTCCTGGAATCATCATATTATGTATTAAAGTTGACTGTGGTGATTACAACATATTGGGAACAGATAGTCCAAAATATACCGTGTAAACACTCGCATTCATTCATTCAAGTTAGTATTCTTTTTACCTTCAATGTCCTTCTTACAGCTTATGTCTAGAAAGAAAGCTCTTACATGCCATACATTAATTTTTAAACATGATGGGGCATGTTTTCTGTATAAATAATTGAAATGTATTCAAAATAATTTCAGCTGCTCTTGACAACATTTCAATTGAGTTACTTTTAATTCTTAGACTATCAGGTCTCTATAGTTCTTCAACGCATGCATATGTATATATGAGTAGGAAAGAGAATTGTTATGTATTGCTAATTATCTTGTTGGTGTAATTGTATGTGTAACATTGTATCTATTTAATTGAGGTATTCACTTTAGATTTTAACTATGGTCGAATTGATGTCTCTGTGATTTTGTCTGTGATTGTCTTGTGACTGTTGTTTGACAAGTTTTATATTCAGTGCCAGTTGCACACTTATGAATACTCTGAAATGCTGATGTGTGTATGCTATTGTTAGTTCACTAGAACTACAAAATTTGGTGTATCAGTAATTACCCACTCCCCACACCTCAGTCTTTCAAGTAGAGCTAATGTAGGCTATCTAAACTGAACTCCATACTAAAATGGGTAGGAGAGGTCAGCAATTACAAAAACTTTAAACTGGATATATCAAGGTGATGGAAGGCTAGACTCCATAGGAGATGACAAGTGACTATTTGTTGCACATTAGCAAGGACTGTCGTGTGTTGATAGTAAAATCAATCAGTTTTCACTACTTCTATTGTTTAGTATCTGTCGCATCTTTACAGTTTCTTTGGCATACATCTCAAAACTCACATATTGTTTAGTGATGTTTCGCTGCCATGTTTAGAACATAATAGAATCAAATGTCCCCTCTCAAGCCTAATCTGCTAAAACATTAGGCATTGAAATTAATGAGTCTGATGGTATCAGAATATAGTAGATTTATGTAAAAAGACATGGAGAGGGAGTATGAATGTGCATGAAGGGTAAGGCCATCACAATTTACAGAGACAAACTAGAGATTTAGAGTAACTTTTAAGTGCATATGGATGGGTCTGTGCACAGAATTTCCAAGTAGATAGATTGTACCAGTGATATATTTGCAGTCTAATGGATTATTAGTAAAGAGAAATGATCTTGCAAAATTTCATCCTTGTAATGCCATCTCTCTCTCTCTTTTTTTTTTTTTTTTGGTAATGCTTTTTAATTTAGTGGCCTCTGATATATTTCATATTAGGAATGGTTATTTGTTTCACATTTTTGGTTCTTTACCTTCAGCCTTCTTTCAATTGCAGTGTGTATGTCTTCATCAGACTGATGTAACTTAAACTTATCCAGTTCCAACTCTTGACCAACCTGCACATAAAAACAATTTTACCCAGTACGATACTGAAATCTGTGTATAGGGATGCAGCAATCAATGTATGGCCTTCAGTACTACTGCGAAATAATCTTTTTTTAAAGTGGAATTAAAAGTGGAATGCTGTAGATATCACGTGAGGTAACAGTCAGTCCATAAAATACACGTACATTTGTAATTGACTCTGGTAACACAACCTGAAGGTTCAAGAACACCAGAAATATTACTTATTAATACATAAATTGAGTAACAGAAGATACTGAGGGCCCTAAAAGGTGACACATAGGTTGACTGTAGAAGAATTAGGTATAAATATCTTAATAAATGAAGGAAGAGGAAAGTGAAATGGTAACTGAAGTGTGGTAACAGACTGTATAGGCATTGGAGTGAACATGGAAAGAAGTCATCACACTGCCTCCCAAGCACAAATGTATCAAATGGAAAGAAAATAACATATGCAAATAACACGGAAAATCTTGTAGTTTTTTCTTTAAGATTTGAAGTAATTAAAATATTTACCAATTCCAGTCCTTTTTGTATTTCTTGTTCCTCTACTTCTGTCAAGAAACCAGCCCTTTGCAAGGCACGTGCATATGCTTGACTACCCTGTAGTTTAGGAATAATGATTATTTATAACATGATATAGAAAGCACAGGTTCCTATCAGAAAGAAAATGCTTTGTACAGGATTTTCAGATCAAAGGCTTGAAGTACAAATTATCAGTTAGGAGTTATACATAAGGCTTTTGAATAGCACAACATTCTTTAAAGGGGGGGGTTATAAATTTATACATGTAACACACTTACCTGTATATCTTCATACCACATACGTTTGTCATAGACAATTGATGCGTTCAGTTTGTCTAAAAAAGTATCAGTTTTTTGTGAAAATCGTCCTCCCCAAAGCTTTGTGCCTTCCCCCTAGAAAAGGATATGTAACCAATAATATTTTCTGACTGCAATAAACAGAATAAATTCAGTTTCAGTGATATAGTGTTTATATACAGAAGGCAATATATATTTACATATATAAAGTTGTCTCTGTGTATAAGCACTGCAAATGGGGAGATGGGTTTAAGTTCCATGTATTCTAGACCTTGCCACTAGATTGAAATTAATGCCACCCTTGGGAAAAACTGGCTGTTCTTTATACAAACAATAATAGTCAGAAGACAATTAGAACCATGGCAAGGAAAAAATTACTCTGTCATTCCCTTAACTTTGAATAATTTAAGAATTTCATTAATGCTCAGTAATAAAAGGAAATTTGTCTAAAGAAAACTAAAGTGTCTAACCCTTATATATTCTTCCTCATTTATCATTCACAATTATACTATCATATCTCAATTGATACTACACAACAACAGCAGTTGACACAGCATTTTAAAGTAACCAAACAAGCAGATGGTATCAGTATACATACATACATAAGTGTCATGCTTTTTAAAACCATACATGATAATAAAATATTATATTTATACCAAACAATAATGTAATTATAGAATTTATTCCCTGTATTTTTAAACTCTGGATGCCACCTTAAAATGTTCCTTGTTTTCTGTCACAGCACAGACATCAGAGATATTCTCTGAGACAAGCATAGCCTTTTGTACACTCTTCGTTGTTTAATATTAAATTTACAAATTGATGCATATAATATGAAAGCAGTAACTATATGAACATACTTCAATCATTTCAGCCGTTTTTGTCAGTGCCTGCTCTATTATGAACAACAAAAGTACACAACTTACTGCACTTATCAGTTTATATGGAATACTGGAACCTTGGAATGTGCCCTCTAAGGTCAAGTCAACATGAACTTTTTGAAATAAATAATCTGTTTGCTTCCCTGACAAATATGTTGCAGAACTCAATATGAATTAATGCTAATGAGATCAATTTAAGTAAACTCAGTAAATAAATGTTATTTGATACATTATTTATGCTTCACTATATAGAAATAGTGAACTGGAGAAAAAATCAAGGTTGGTTATTCATGACACGTGTGTGTGTGTTGTATATACAAGTATATATTTATTTTGCGTGGTATTTGTATTTTAATATAGTTGGTTCATCCTCTCATCATCAGTGCCAAGTTATTGTAATATCAGAGGACTTGATTTAGAAATGGAATATCACAGTGCAGTGAACAAAATATTTACAGGTTAGATATAAGTATTCTTACTACCTTACTGGATCTCACTTGCCACATGCTGCTACCATTTAAGTTGAAAATTTATTTATAGGTTGGATGCTAAGTTGTAGTTGAGGGGTGCTCCAATGCAGATTAAATTGATCATGTCAGGCCAAAATTGAGTAAGCAGTGAGACCCTGGGGTACTGATGGATGTAGTGGTATTCATGAATTTGTATCTGCAAACCAAGGTAAAGTTATCCCTGTGCTTAACTAATGAAGTACTATGCCATGTAGGCCCCTGGTACCCATTGGATAGGAGGTTGGGTGGACCCCAGAGCCAGCCTGGATGATATGGAGAGCAGAAAATTCTTGACCCTACTGGGACTTGAACTCCAACTCCTTGATCATCCAGCCTGCAGTCAGATGCTATACCAACTTCTCTATCAGGGGGGACCAAGAATGTTTAAAAAAAGAATAGAGAATTAAAGTCTAGTAATGGTGTTTATTGTTTTCATGCAGATAAGTAGGTGTGGGAAAACTTGGCTGAAATTACAGTCACTTTTACATGATTCACTGTTATTTACATATTCATAATGCTTATTTAATGTATTAAATTATCAAAGTGTAATGTTATAGTTAAGATATTTGATTTTATTTAGCAAAAAAATAGCAATGAAATATGATAAAAATGAGTTTCTTCCTCTGTTATCTGAAGACTGTCTGCTAGTGGTTTGCTATATGTGTTACTACATAGATGCAGCTTAGGTTTGGAGACATCCATATTTGAATTTTAAACGTGACTGGACTTTCAGTTTTAGTTACCTAACATGTTATATTTTAGCGTCCTGTTGCACTGATTTAAGTCCATAATTTATTTCAACCGTCTTCCAGTGCATACACTCATCTATCTCACTCCTCTCTCTCGCACTACATGTTTCGGCACAAAAGTGCCATCTTCAGGTGCTTATTTGATTTACGATAAACTAGTTCACTGCATGCCTCGCTGTCTTCATATTAAAATAACTAAGATATATATTTATCACATATATTGATAAATATTAAATATTACAAATATTAAAATTGTTCAGGATTTTTCATCCCTACGTCGTATCTCACTATGCGAGTCACACCTATCCTCTTCTGTCGGAGCACTCTTTCTACTTTCGTGTGTGTATTGTGCTCTGTGTTGTGTCTTGCTCCTGTGACTGCATGTTATACTGCTGGGTCTGCTGCTGCACTGTGCTGCACTGTGCCCTATTCCAAGTTTTCAGGCTATTGTGTCTACAGTCAAATGCCTGTCATCTTGAATGATCTCATCCACTCTTTCCTTGTTGCGTTCAGTTGAGGCTGTTCGAGAACGACCGCTCCGAGGCTCATCTTCGAGGCTGGTGTTCCCACCTTTAAAATGTTTCACCCATCTTCAAACACTGCTCGCACCCATGCTGAATTCAGAAAGCAGTGCGTCAGTGTCTTCGGATGGCTGTAATGAAATTTTACAAATATTATTTGCAATTCTATTTCACTGTGCTTTTTTAGAAAGAATTGTATAAGGTGTGATTCATCACAATTTAATGTTAGAAAGTTACTATTAAACCACATAATTGTTTCGTTCAGAACTAATTTGATATTATTTTTAAATTCTTCAGGATTCATATTTGATATGATAATACTTGCATCATCAGCAAATAATATTGGATTACCTATTTTCTTAACGATAATGGGAAATCATTTATGTAAATAAGGAACAATAAAGGCCCCAATATAGAGCCTTGTGGAACTCCATATTTAACTAGTTCCCATTTTGAAGACACTTTATTTAAGTTCGATATCTTTCATTGATACTCTCTGATATATTTTTGTAAGTATGATCTCATTAACTTATTTACCATGCCCAAGATTCCATAGAATACCATTTTTGCCAGGAGTATGTTGTGGTTACACAGTCAAATGCCTTTTGTAGGTCACAGAATAAACCACCAACATAATTCTTTTTGTCTGAAGAAGACAATATATTATATGACATATTCCACATCCTACAGTCATTTTGACTAACTTTGGATCCATGGAATTCAATGCAATGTAATGTATCTGTTATTGTTTAATGTCTTTTTGCTCAAGTTGCATTGTGCAATGTGCATCTCCTGACATGTTTCAGATTCACCCATCAACGGACAGACATTGGATTAATGAAATGTATATGTATGTATGTATGTAACAATCTCTTGCCCCATACTGGGAATCGAACCCATAGCCTGTCACTATACCAACTCATCTACCCTAGATCTCTTGATTGCAATACTGTCTTCAATTTTTTTGTTTTTTGTACAGCACAGTTCAAAATGAATTTTTCCTGCAACCTTAATACAGACCCTGATACCAGGTTTAACCAGATTTCGGTGAGGAGGGATATGAAGATAGATGACAGAGGGCCTCTTCATTACACACACTAAAAAGACTGAGAATAGCTGTTCTAATATGTGACAAAATGAGACAGTATAAAGTAGTCTCAAATACAAAGTAACCTAAAGTTGCTCTAAAATATGAAGTAAATAAATAAATAAATAAATAATTACTTATAGGCATATTCAGTGTTACAGCCATCACACTGAAGGCATACTTTGTCTTGTTCCAGTTTCCGCACATGCATTGAATATACAGATTACTGTCTTCTGGGATGTGATATTCTGGGTAGCCTCCCTGAAGATGGAGGCAGCAGGTTCCCAAGACTATCCATACCTATCCACAAAAGTACAGTGACATCCCAGAAGATCATAATCTCGATAGTCACTGCCATATGAGCCTCAAATCTCACTTCATGCTATTATCTTCTGGGATATTTATACTGGGAGATAGGGCACATAAGAAAATGTGGCACAGTTCAGATGTTTGGGAAAGACGATAATAAATCAAAACCTGATTGAGGAGGAAATTAAGATGAGATTGAATTCAGGTAATGCTTGCTACCATTCAGTCCAGAACCTTTAGTCTTCTTGTCTGCTGTCCAAAAACATAAAAATTAGAATATACAAAACTATAATTTTGCCTGTGGTTCTGTATGGGTGTGAAACTTGGTCTCTGATATTAAGGGAGGAACATAGACTAAGGGTGTTGAGGAGAATATTTGGACCGAAGAGAGATGAAGTGACAGGAGGTTGGAGAAAACTGCATAATGAGGAGCTTCATAACTTGTACTCTTCTCCAAATATAATTAGAATGATCAAATCAAGGAGGATGAGGTGGGCAGGTCATGTAGCACGACTGGGGAGATGAGGAATGCATATAGGATATTGGTGGGAAAGCCAGTAGGAAAGAGACCACTGGGAAGACCAAGGCATAGGTGGGTGGACAATATTAAAATGGATCTTAGAGAGAGAGAGGATGTAATGGTATGGATTGGATTGATCTGGCTCAGGATAGGGACCAGTTGAGGGCTCTTGTGAACGCTTTAATGAACCTCTGGATTCCATAAAATGCTTGGAAATTCTTGAGTAGCTGCAGATTTGGCTTCTTCTCAAGAAGGGCTCAGCTCCATAAGTAAGTAAGTAAGTGCACATAAGATAACCTGCATTATAATGTATTGTATTTTTCTGTTTCATGAAGCTCCAACATACAGCACACTCTTATCACTTGATAGTGGTCCAGAAGTCATCAAGACTCTAGAAGAAATTGGAGTGGGGAAGGTGTGTATGGCAGTATGAGCATTTTATTTGTTTATTTTTATTTTCCTCAAGAATGGTATGCAGGGTGTAAACCTACCTAACAAAATGTTTTAAAACAACTTTTTGAATGTATTTATTTTTACAAAGAAAAACTCAAAAGAAAACCACAAGTAACATGAACAGAATGTTCCACAGTGAAACTGTCAAACTTTGCCAGTTTTATGTTGGCAACTCTCTAATGTTAAAATATAATTCTAGAGTTGGCAACGTCGTAGTAAACAGTTTTAATAATAGACTGCACTACATATGCTGTTCCTAATTTCTCTATTGTTATGTGTTACTGTGGTTATGTGTGTAATTTCTTGCTGAGTAATGTTGCCAATGAATACAGTACTTAAACCATGTCAAGGGGTTACATTTGCTCAGATACTGAATGCATGTTTGTTTGTTGCATGTTGTATTCTGAGAGCATTTTTCAGCTGTAATTGAGAAAGATATTAAAGCAAATTCATGGAAGCCTAATGAAAGTGATGCTCCTAATATAGATGCTTGATAGGAACTGGATCCCTGAATCAACTGTGCTCTTACCAGATTCCAGAATTGGTTCTTTCAGATTATTTAAGTAGTCATCATACATAGAAGCAAGCAAGAAGTGTCAGCCTAATAATGTTCTCCTTGTGTTCAAAGATGAGGCAAAGTTGTCACTAGGCTTAATTAAGCAGCTCCATAGTTTTTGACCTTGGCAGTAGATGGAAATGAGTGGTCAGCTTCATGTCCTGGGCGCTTTAACCCTGGAAAAAGAGCCTTCAGTACCCTTTGAATAGGAGGCTGGGTGGGCCCTAGAGCCAGTCTGGAGGCCATGGAATAGAGAAATATCTTGCCCCTGCCAGGAATTGAACCGCATCTGCCCAGCTCATAGCCTATCACTGCAGTGACTGAGCTATCCTGGTCCATCTTGCCTTTACCAGCATATAATGCTTGTGTAGGAATTTTTTGGTTGCAGAATTTGGTACTTCTGATTTTTCCATACAAAACTTGTATGCCATTATCTTCTTTTGTGGTTTATTAAGGAGGAAATTAAGAGGAGATTGAACTCGGTTAATGCTTGCTACCATTCAGTCCACAACGTTTTGTCTTCCTGTCTGTTGTCCAAAAACATAAAAATTGGAACTTACAAAGCTATAATTTTGCCTATGGCTCTGCTGATACAGCTGTACGAAAATTTGTATCTTATCTTCGCATTTGAGGTCCTACAAGATCCACTATGAAAGAAAAACTCTATGCTCATTCTGTAAAATGATTTGAACAGCTCTGGACCCTGATTACGTTCTTTCGAAACATTATAAACACCTGAGTTTAAATTGTCGTGAAAGAACGGGTGCACCCAATGTTTCCGTTTCTACCGTCTTTAGCTCTTACGCTGTCTCAACCACCACCACCACCACCATAACATTATAGGAACAATATTATTACCTGACATTGCAGGAGAGAAGTGCACGAAATTGGCGGGCAGAAACACCCATTTGAGATGATATGAGCAACTAATCGAACGTAAGTTTCCTCAGTGTGCGCCTGGTAATTTGGAAACCAGTTGCCTGCTTGAAATTGGGATATCTCTCGGAAATCGCGGTTGCGTTGCGGTTGCCAGTTTCCTTGGTGTGCCCAGGTCTTAGTTTGCATTGTTCAACGTCGATGCCATTAGTCCCCAGTAGTCCAAGTACTTTTCGACATGCATGACATTGAGGTTCTGATTTTGAAGGCTGTATTGTTACGAAGATTTTGCGGACGAATACATTAGGAAAACGGTTTGTAATACATTACTTTAGAGTTGTATTTTTTAGTCTCTTGAAACAGAATTTAATTTTGTTTGTGTGACAGTGGGTTGAGTGCCTTGTGTTAAGTGTAGTGATTTCAGGTTTATAACAAAAATAATATTTTGCGGAAGTCCGAAATCACTGAAATGTAGTCCGTCAGTACTGAATAGGTGCGGCCATGTTGACTTGTAGCAGAAAACTTTGCGATTAATTTTGTCTGCAATTATTGTTCCAGAAACATAATGCCGAAATGTGATAGTTTCACGAAGTATATACCTGCTACATTTGCCTGGGTACTGTTGCTGGGGACAACGACGTTGTTCTTCCGTTACCCGTAAGTAGAGCGCACTTACGTTACGTGTGATGATATCCAAGGTGGCAATGAAAGGCCATTGTGACAACCTAATGTTAAATGATGCAGCACATGGAAGAATGAAAATTGTTGATGTTTACTTGGCATTCGTATGAAGTCAAAGAAAAAAAGGGTGTAAACTGCTGAGTATCATATAAATTGGTAAAGTGCCATTTGCTCTGTTGACACAAGTTTGATGTCAGCTGTATAGGCTTAACAGTCGCGAATCATGATTTTGAAAATTTGTTGTGTAAATATATGTTATTTCGAAGATAAACGCACGCACCATATTTGTGCCAAATATATAGGCCGTATGTAGTACATTTGAATGGAAACAAGGGATGTGTCTGTAAAGAAGGGTTTAACAAATTTTGAATATGGCACATGTCTATGGTGTGCAAAGGAACGTCTGTTGGTGTGTAGTTTTTCAGTTTATGGTGTCATTTTAATTACTTAAGTTTGGTCGGTTTTGCCAGATATTCATTTATAAAACAGTTGGTATGGGTGCAATGAATAGTTTTCACTATAACCCATGTATGAATTGTTAGTATTGAACTTGAAAATTTGTGACATTTTTAATCTCTTAGTAATTATTTACAAGATATTTTATAAGTGTTTGTGTGCGTGGTTAGCCCCTTATCTGATATGAAGACTGAACTTCCATAATGCAGATCTTGGATAGAGGTTTCTCTTTTCTCTAATTTGGTGTCTGATACTTCGCTCTTATGGGTGATCGTCATCTGTTTGCATATTTCTTAATCATGAATGCAGATAAAGAGAATATTGTATGGAAGCTTTTAAAAGTATAAATGCAAGAGATTGCAGAACTCACTCATTCAAGAAAATCCAAATCATTATCAAATTTAAGAATTTGAAGGTAACTATAGAACACTTTTTTCTGGATATACTGCTCCAAAATGATACACTTTCTGATCTCTGTCAGCCATGTGTGCAGTTAAGGCCGGGCGCACACCAAGGAAACTGGCAATGGCAATGCAACTGCAATTTCTGAGAAAAATCGCCGATTACAAGCAGGCAACTGGTTTCCAAATTAGCAGACGCGCACTGAGGAAACATGTTCGATTAGTTGCTCACATCGTCTCAAGTGGACGTGTTTGCCTGCCAATTTCGTGCAAATCTCTTCTGCAGTGTCACATAATAATATTGTTCCTATAATGATGTGGTGGTTGAGATGGAGTAAGAGGGGAAGACGGTGGAAAAGGAAACATTGGGTACATCCGTTCTTTTCGCAACAGTTTAAAATCGGGTGTTTATATTGTTTTGAAAGAACTTAATCAGGATACAGAACTGTTCAAATCAGTTTACAGAATGAGCATTGAAAGTTTTTCATTAATAGTGGATCTTGTAGGACCTCAAATTCGAAGACAGGATACAAATTTTCATACAGCAGTATCAGCAGAGTGATAGGCAAAATTATAGCTTTGTAAGTTCCAATTTTTATGTTTTTGGACAGCAGACAAGAAGCCAAAAGGTTCTGGACTGAAGCATTACCCCGAGTTCAATCTCCTCTTAATTTCCTCCTCAACCAGGTTTTTGTTTGTTGTCGTCATTCTCAAATGTCTGAACTATGCCACAGTTTTAAAAGATCTGTTACCTATATTTATGTCATGAATTTGCTCTACATTTTGGTAATGAGATAAGATCATGTACCTAGTTTTACCTGTGTTTACTTCTAGACCAACCCCCTTAGTTGCATCAATTAAAGTGTTTGTGTTTCTCCTGATGGTATCTATATTATTACCCAGTAGATTCACATCATAGAAGAGCACATAAAAGAGCTACCTTGCTCTTTTGCGTAGCAGATGCATGGCTACTGAGCAGTAAACCCCCGAATGTTTGCTTAGTACTCAGTAACATGACCTCGCTGTTTTCTTAACCCCCTCTAACGGAAAATGCTTTGCCGGTCTTCTAGTTGTTTGTACCAGCCAGTAGTTAGTGGTGGGGTATGGTTCAAGGACAAAATCTTCTCTGATGAGCTAGCTGACTGCCTTGTGAGACGGGTAGTCGTGATTCAGACTGTGGCAGTGACAGGGAACAACAAAGAATTGTGGCCACAGACAGTAAAAGTGACTGTAGCTCTGACATAAATGCAGGTAGTAAAATTGTGGGGACAGCAAAAAATCTAAAAAAATGACAAAAATATAAACCCTGATTCAAAATTGAAATACAAAGCATTTCTCATGAATGTGGCAAAGGCCTGGGCTACAGACCAGATGGTAGCGGCAGAACCAGAGTCAGACACAGACTTAGTGCGACCGGGCCCATCAACTCCCACCCCACGCAGGCCTCATGTGGACCCCCCAGGGCGACTCTCAGGTGATATGCGGAAACATGCCCTCGTGAAAATTGTGAAGAGTGAACATTCTAAGGGGAAGCATACTTCTAGGCAATGCCGTGTTTGCACAGTTCACAAAAAAAGGAATATGTCTACATTGCAAGTTCTGTGTAATGCCACTTCACAAAGGGGAATGTTTACAGAAATATCACACTCTCAAGCACTTCTAGGAGCATTGGTAAATGTTCTCCAAAAATTTTAGTTCATAGAATTAATTAGGAGATTTTATATTAATTTTTAAAGTGAACAGTGCACATGTTAGGATAGTAGGTCTAATAATGCGGGTCGCCAGGGTGATTTAAATATTTAAATTGCCGGTCTGCGTTGTGTTAATTGAATTCAACTGATGACTGTAAATGATGAGGACTAACCCAACTGCTGACTTTTATCACAAAGCAAGGATACTATTGTAGTAGTTGTTTGCATTGTTTTAGCATACATATTCTGTATTTTGATCCTGTTATATAAGTTTTGGTTATATTATATATATATACACATACTAGATTCCTTCATCTCATTAAAAAATTTTCCCCAAGCCAAATTTATTTTCCCGGCCTGTCACAGTCTGGACGGCATTTGTGATATATGCCAGGCTCCTGCTCAGTTAACTGCACAAGAACAAATTAGCAGTTTTGGCAACTCTTCATGTCATCTTAACAAACAAATGAATCGCTGAAGTGCATTACATAACGGCTGATTTCTAGGAATCCACGCGGCAAGTCAGTCGTGTGAAGACTGGCATGTTCCGTTGCTTGGAAATTGAGTTTCTCAGTCTCCCAGCAAGTTGTGTTGCCGTTTCCTCAATTTGAGCTGCCCCATTCACTAACATGTGTTCAACTCTGGCTGATAACACTTCTCGGAAATCACGGTTGCACTGTAGTTGCCAGTTTCCTTGGTGTGCGCCCAGCCTAAGAGACAAAAAGTTACATTTCTACGCCAGCATAGAATAGGCAACATTAAAAATTATACCATTTCTTGAGAAGTCTGTGTAATGAGTATGTTTTACCATTCACATATTTTTGTTTCATACACTGATCAAGAGGTAAGAAGCATTAACATTGCATTGTTGACACTTGGAAATAAAAGATTGCATTGACTTTGTTTAGGATTTGCTTAAGGAACCGTTTCAAATATATATTGACTTCTGTTTCATTCCACCACTACTAAGATATGGATGTTGATGTTGTTTTTTAAAAAATGGAAAGAAATTACAATAAGGTAATTGTACCAGCCCTTGACAGTGTACCTGTTAATACTTGAGGTAATATTGAAATACATTAGCTGATTCTTAGAGAGTGATAGTTCAGTGGAAGGATTGCTCCTATAAGCTTCTTGATAGCCTGTGATAGGAAATTGTGGACAATATGAAGAACTGATGAAGGAGGATATATATCAGAAATGTGGTTCATGAGGAGGATAGTGAAAGAAATGAAGAAATACGAGAGAACTACAAATTTCACATGTAACAGAATTTATAGAACAGTGCAGAAAAAATTTGTAAACAACACATTGACAGGATGAGCTCTGACATTCCAAAAAGGATTTTAAAATATCAACCAAAATTAAAGAAGTCTGGGAATATATCTGCAATGATGTGAGGATACTATTTGGTAATATCTGTAACAAGACTTAATAAACCTAATACTGGAAGGGATGTTGGTAATTTTAATTGTCAGGTGGCAGTGGGATAGGGTAGGAATCATCACTTATTTCTATCTGCCTCTTTGCTGCCTCTGATCACTACTTAAGACAGAAAAGGTAACAAGAGATAAAGCTATCCTTGTAATAAGTCGTGAAAGCCCATAGGATTGTAAGACATTGAGGCTCCCAAATTTTCTCTTGACATTTGGCTCACAGATGGTGGCAAGGTTGTCAGCCTTAACGTGCTAGCTACCCTTTNCCCCCCGGAAGATTCATTGAACTCATTCTGTTCCATTGAAAGAACTAATGCAAATTAAGAGAGTAAACACAATTGTAAAGAGACCCATTGGTTATGTATTAAAGGAAATAAATGAAATGCACAGTGAAGCCTGTAACATGCACAGTAAGCCTTTTTTAATTAAAGCTGTAAATACTGATCCTGGTGTATCTTTCTTTGCTTACATGACCAGCACATAATATGGGGCAGAGGCCAATAGGAAGTACATGTAAAGAGAATACTAATAATTAAATGTAGGCAGCAGACATTCCTAATCATTGGGAAACCTTTGAGGGCACTCTGAGCATATACAGGAGATGCTCATCCTTTAGGACAAAATGGAAGCATTAGTGACCATCCCACAACACCATGGACCAGATCCTGACACATTCCTCAAGGACCAGCTGGGGATTCTTGAACTGTCAACTAATGGCTCACCCAAATGGTTCAACATATCTTGGAGTAGAGAATTAGAAGGGAATGTGGACACATGCTCTCTGCATCAAGGGCTGCAAACGAACAACTGAAGCAAAACCAAGAAAAATGAAGGCAAGGCAGTCCACAATCAGATGACAGTGATAGCATACTCAGGCACATAAACACGTGTACTTTATTTCTGAGTGTCACATATAGCACACGGTTCATATATGAAGTCCCACAGTGTAGCACAGCACTGCACATTTCTGTTATGAAGACCCCTCCAAGAAAGATCACAAACACAAGTATACACTACAATATATATACATTATACAGGTGTAGCAGGTAAAGGGGAACATAATGGGAATAACACCAAATTTGTGACTTGGAACTTACAATTTCCTGAAGAGGAGCAACAGACACCTACAAGAACAGGGCCTCTAACCTGACTCCACATGCACACTGTGGACCACAGTTCTCCACACCCGTATGAAATTTCTGAACATATGGGGACCATGACATCAAGGTTACCAAATCGGGCATGGAGTGAAGTGAGCACCATCATTCAGGGTTATCAAGGTGTGAAGGGGTGAATGATCTCAGTGAAGATCGTCTCCAAAACGCTGTCAATTCTAGATGTAACCTCAGTTATGTATTGTCCCATCATTTTGGCCCAGGGCAGTGTCTGCTTTACCTATTTCTGATACAGATGCAAAAAGCAGGGTGACATGAGCACATACGCATAGAACTCGGAGTCATCTAAAATTGGATAACTCCGACTTCCTTGTTTCCAAAATCCAGGGTATGGATTTCCAGTCGAAACTTCCCAGCTGGGAAGTATTAGGAAGAACTACCGCAACCATTATTGACACCACCAGACTAGTAACATATGAAATCTGCACAGAGGCAGGAGAGTGGATGCCCTTCATTAGCAGAACACAGAGCAGTACACAGCTCATTATTTTGAAGTGACATTTAACTGTTATTCAGTCCATGACATTTTCTGTCCAGGAGTCAGTTGAAAATTCTTGCAGCAGTGCAGCTGGATCAGAGATGATGCTAACCAATCCTCTAGCAGAAACACCCATGGCTGTAGCCAGCATCACAGGGGTCACAGTAGCTTTAGCTTTAGAAATACCATCCAGGACCACTGTTCTCCAAGTATCTGAGCATTGATCAGGCAGCTTGTCTTTGATTGTTGTGGCCTCAAGTCCAAGACTAGTCACCTAGCCTTTCAGCACAGATTTCTGCAGCTAGTAAACCTTATCAGCTGAAGCTGCAGTCATCATGCAAGCCAAGAAAAAGATGAGATCACAACAAACAGTAAACTTGATGCTGCCAGAACCTCATTTTGCATAAAAAATAAGCGAAACCACACCACAATAGTAACAAAACCACAGGAGATCCAAATAGCAGCCAGACCATGCCTCTTTATTAAGACAAAAAAAAAGGTGTGCTGAATGAAATACAGTGTTTGAGGCTTGTAACATACTTAGTAAGTCCCCTATAATCATGGCTGCAAACACAAATAGTATGGGGCTGAAGCCAGTAGCAACAGCATAAACAACAGTGCCAAGGTACTTTGGGTAAAGTATAGGGAAGGTGTCAGCTAACTGAAATAGCCCAGTGGATACCCCAGAGGTGAGCCAAATGTAGAAAATGGCACCTGGACGGGATTTAGAAGATACTACCCACCTACCAGGCTCCAAAATGGATACTTCAGTCATCCACCTTAGCTGACTACAGTGTTGCCCTCAAGTCCAAGACCTGAATAACCAGAGCCACTCCAGTCCCTGTGCACAGGTAAAGCTGACAGCAAGGGGAGGGGGAAGAAAGGAAAGCTGGCTAGCAGGAATAGAAGAAAGGCAAAGTAACAGTTGCTTCTAAAAAAATACAAGTCTTCAGCTGGTGGCATGGTCCAGTTATAAATAAATTTTATGATTGCAAACATATTTATGGGTGTGAATGATACCATCTACCTGACAGGTTTTATGTGGTTTTCCTCTGTCCAGGCAGATGCCATGATAGTACCTTAAATTGGGCCATGACCACGTCTGCAACGTTCATTGTTATTCGCCATCATTCTCTTATTTTTTTAGTTATTGACACTGTCATGAAATAAACTACAGAGTAAATTCAGATACCATGTGCAGTGCACAAAATTCCACATGTTTACTCCTGCATCCATTGAATTATAATCTATGCACATTAACCACATTAGCTCAGATAATTTTTCATTGTACTGTTCTGGACATAGTCCAGTGCTGCAATCAAGTGAGAATTATAGTTACAAGTTGGTAGGTAAAACTTGGGTCATAAAGTAGGTTTAATTTAAACACGTTGAGGGCCGATAAAAAAAATGTTGAATATGCTTTGATAATTTCTAGTGATTATTTTACAGTTTTATCCTTTTTCCAGATGCAGTTTTTATTATAACATACAGTATCCATGGGTTCCAGCCTACCAAGGTGTAATCACATTATTTGTGATTGCCAATTTCACACTGGCCACATTTATGGATCCAGGAGTCATTCCAAGAGGTGTGTATATCTTACACTTTTGGGTAGTGAATTAATTACCTTATTCTATTTGTACAATTCAGGCCATCCTAATTTATTGTTCTGAGTAAGAAAACATTGTTTGTCTGTCTTGGGTTTGAGGTTCTCAGGTAGTGTCTCTGAGAAGTTCTGGGCTGGAGTGAGTGGTAATGCATCTTGCAGCAGTTTGGTAGAGCTTATTGTCATTAATTTCATGTCATTATCTGCACCATTACTTCACAACTGTGTGAATGTTACAGGTAAGGCACTATGCCTTGTTAAAGAAACATAATTTGTGACAAAGATCGAGATCTAAGATTGAAGGATTTGTCTTTAAATTTGATTCCTGGTATTTTATATGCAAAAAACACTTCTGAGTTTGATGAAAATGTGTTACAGAATGTAATTAAGTTCACTAGATTCATGAAGTTTATATGAAAGAAAATAAGTCATCCCTTGTTAGCAGTGAGCTTCATGTAATGCAGATTGCAAAATTTGTTAATATGAATAAAGGAATAAGATAAAGATGTTTTTGTCCTAATTCAGTTGGAATGTAATATAGTAATTCATATAGTATTATGTGTAGATGATGAAATCAGTAAATTCTGGAGACAAATTATAAATGGCAGCATGCCATCTGCACATATTTACATTTGAATGTGACATGAAGATTTCCACAACAAAACTGAAGTAATGAGAATGTGTGGAAGAAATATTCAAAGAATGCAAACTAGAAATAGGTGGAAAAGTAATAGAGCAAGTATCTGATTTTATTGATATAGCAATATATATGATTTCAGAACAGAAGGAAAATATTTATATAAAGTTATAAATGTACAGCAGAATAAATGACATTAAAAGGCGTTTTTGTGCAGATGTCAGTGGATACAAACTTATATTTATATAACATCACATGAAAATAAAAAATCAGAATATTGCATTTTGGTTTCTAAATGAGAAGAAATCCCAGAAATTAGTGTTGTCACAAATATGTTTCTTGTGGCTGCTATTATTAGGCTTTACTGGATTAGACAAACAGGGTAACTGACACCAGAGGAAGGTTGAATCTTATAAATATAGTTGAAGAAATACTAGGATACAAACCAAATTGAGGATATCTCCCGGAAAGAAAGTTGAAGAGATGTTTGTGCAAGACCGAACATTCTGCTGACGTATCATTATGGAGCTTATTTCTGATGACTTGTAAGATGTCATGGGCTAGTACATTAGTGAAAAGACTAGCAACATCAAGGCTGAAGAGAGTATCTGGAGATTGAAGTTTTATAGACTTCAACATCTGTATGAAGTGGCCCACATTCTTTATGAAGGATTTCATTTTTCTGTTAAGAGGTTTCTGTATCTTATGAGAAAACCAGCCAAGCATAACAAGGGGAACCAGTGGATCTCATTATAGGCGTCAGAGGAACGTCAAGTTTGTGCATCTTGGGGAGGGCCATATAGATGTGGAGGTTTGCTGTGGTATGGAGTCAGCTTATATGTTAGATCTGTAGGAAGAGCAGTTTCGTGTTTAGAAAGGAGTTCGTGCACTTTTCTCTCATCATTAGCCGAGGGATCTTTTGTCAAGGGTTCATAAACCCCAGACTCTAGCAAAGCGTTCAACTTACTCTTGGATTTTTTATTCATCTAACACAGTGCAGTGCCTTTGTCTGCCTGAAGAATCCTAATATCTTTGTTAAGCCTCAAAGATTTCATGGATTTCAACTCCTTTTTAGTCATGTAAAGCATGGAAGACTTAGGCAGTGTCTACACGAGCGCACAAAATGCGTCCGTTGTAACGAACGTACTTTGCTGAGGACACCACACAGTTGCAGGATGCGGTGTGTAGTTTTTTGTCTGCAGTGGAGCCAGAACAAACCATAGCATTCGCCTCTCTTGTTTATTTCTACAACGGATGCATTTTGTGCCCTGATGTAGATGCTGCCTTAGACTTCTCTAACATGGACCTGATCTTCACCTGAATTCCATGCCCAAAGTCTGTGGAAGCTTTGAAACAATAGATTCCACAGCACATGTCATGTCCAGGTTGGAGTGTGGATTTGTAACCCAGTAATTCTGAGTGTTATACACCATCGTGAGAACCCTTTGGAATCTACTTATGCTTGAATTGTTTGATGAAGTACAGATGTATTAGGTGTGGAGATTTTGCAGCAGTATGACTCATTGAAAGACAACTTGGACTATGAGCATCATAGTGTGTTTACTGCATTCCTTTTTGGAAACTGTGGCCGCTGCTTCTGTCAGTACTGAATGATGCAATTAAAACTTATTCTTTTCAGAACCTTCTGAAATTTGAGACTTCAGGTTCACTGTGATGCAACTTATCCTAGTATTCTGCATTAATTATGAGAGTTGAATTGTTTAGATCATGGTTTGTATTGTTAATGTTTGTGTTAACAGCTTCCCCAGAAGAGGACAGGGAGGATGACTTCAGAGCACCGCTTTACAAAAATGTAGAAATCAATGGTATTACTGTACGAATGAAGTGGTGTGTTACATGCCAGTTTTACCGACCACCACGCTGCTCTCATTGTAGTGTGTGCAATGTTTGTATTGAGGTATGTGCTTCAGTTTAGAATAGCAGCAGCTTCCTGCATATGAAACCAAGTTTGTGTTAAAAAACCTTATGAATGCATACCTCTTGATAGACAAAGAGATACGCAAAAGGATAATATTAAAATGTTTCTTAGAGAAGTCGGTTGTGAGATTGTGAATTATGTTGAACTGGTTCAGGATATCTCTGTTGGTGGCTTCAAATGTTCTTAACAACAAAGAATTTGTTAGCTTCCCATGGGGTGTCAACTCATTAGAGTATTCCAGTTAATCCTGAACTGTATTCCATAGTGGCCTGAGATACTGAAAGGTTCAACAGGTAAATTTTCAAGTAATTGACTTTATATTTGTATTTAAATTGCAATTTTAAAATGCAAGAACATTTTCTTTGAGTATCCAGCTCTCCATGGTATATTGTATAAATGTGGATGAAATTACACTTTGTCTCTTTGTGTTTCTGGTATTAATTTTGCAGCTGTAGATAATGTTTGCAATACATGAGTGTTGTGGTGTACAAAATTGTAAAGAACACATTTGGAAAGTTATGTACTCTGCTTGACTGCATCTTAGTAATGAACAGTAAAAAGCTCAGCTACGCTCAATCTTAAGTGACATTACACATGCATCTGCCAATACTGTACAGTACACTGTCCATGTGTTCTCTATGAAGATTGAAAGGGCACTGGTCTAGAAAGAAGCTGCTACTCACTTGTACAAAATTTATAGATTAGGTATGGTTTAGAGTGGATTTTTCCACTTACGAAACTCAACCCTTAAGTTCCTTTGCTAATCTTGTCGGAGTTCAGGATCTACAAGAAGCTGGAATTACCCTCTGCTATCATGTTGTCATAAAAAGTACGTTCTTATATGAGAAAGTAATTCCTTGACTGCCTTTGATGGACAAACATCAGAGAGGGACATGAGATAGTGGCTTGAGATGTTTGAATTGAGATTTTAATGGCACTGACTAGGAAGAATATATGCTTCTGGGTGATAATGCTGTGTAGTTGAGACCCTCCAAATTTCATGGTGTTACAACCCAGAATACCATACTCTTCAGCAACCAGAGATGAGCATCTGTTCCACATATACGAGGGGGTACCCAAAAGAAACCGAACTTTTTTTTTAACTTATTTATTCAGATTTTAAGCACAAACCTTCAATCCCCTTCAAAGTACTCTCCACTTACACTAATACACTTGTCTAGTCTTTTATTCCATTTTTCAAAACATTGTCTAAAGTCATCTTTTGAGATGCTTGACAGTGCCTCCGTTGTTCTTTCCTTTCATGTCTCTTTTCATTCAAGGAAACAAAAAAAGTTGCACAGGGCAAGGTCGGGTGAGTATGGAGGGTGAGGAACAGGGGTCATACCATTTTTGGTCAAGAATTGTCGTACAGACAGGGCTGTGTGAGCAGGGGCATTGTCATGATGGAAAAACCAGTCACCCGACTGCCACAAATCTGGCCGCTGAGCTCCAAGTCACTCTCGACAGCTCCACAATTTCTTCAATGGTCCGTCGTCGATCTTCCTTGATGATTTCACGATTTTTTTCAACATTTTCATGTGTTCGGGCCGTGGAAGGACAACCAGAACGAGGTTTGTCATCAATTGACATTTCACCATTTTTTAAATGGGAAAACCAGTCAAACACTTGAGTTTTCACCATAGCATCGTCCTTGTAGGCCGTTTTTAACATTTCAAGAGTTTCTGTTCCACCTGTTCCGAGCAAAAAGCAGAATTTCACCGCCGCACGCTGTTCACGAAAATCAGCCATTGCAAAAACGACGATCACACAAAACAGTTGTCACTATAAACTCTGCCGAAACTAGTCCTTACCTTCTGAAGCAATGGTAGTCGGCTTATCGACTCAGGAATGTTAGCTCTATGCACTCGTAGCGGAAAAACGCGGTACTACTAAAGCTCTGCCCACAAAAATATTAGTTCGGTTTCTTTTGGGTACCCCATCATACATGCACACAGGCACTATCACATTTTGTTACTCACTCACTTAACTTCTAATTTCACTTCAAGGGCACAAGCGGCATACAGTTTTAATACATTTAGATGTGGTACTTAAGAATTGAATCCTAACTGAGAAAATTCATAGTGTGAGTAAAAGACCCAGTCGTGTTATGTTTGTAGGTCTGTGTACCCTCGCTTAGTTTGGTATTATTGTTTTGTAACTACCAGCTTTTTGCACAATAATTCTAAGACTTAAAGATTAGAATTGTGTAATATGTTGATTTATATTTCCAATTTAGAGATTTTGCCTTTGAAAGTATTAGAATAGAATAGTTTTTATTGGTATCCAATCAGTGTAATACCTCATAGACCAGTGTTCCTCAGTCTATGGTCCTTGGGCCATTTGTCGTCTGCAGCGGTGCATCAGATGGTCCATAATGTTCTATAGCCCATGTAGCATTATATGACATGTAATAAATAAACTAATTGAAATTAAAAAAAAGTTATAAATCATTGTTTACAGAAATTACTTTAAATTATTGGATATAAGAAGGTGGTTTATACCAACTGTAACTAATTTTTCTCCTATCCGCAGAATAAAGTGCAGTTGTATGCCCATTATGGATAAGGGGAATGTTTAAAGGATAAACTAAATGAAAGTGGCTATCTTGAAGGTACAGCAATTATTAGCTTGTATGATGCTGCATGCTGATGTCTTTGGTGCTTGCTTGCAGACATTTGACCACCACTGCCCATGGGTGAATAACTGCATTGGACGCCGCAACTACCGCTTCTTTTTTATGTTCCTGATTTCTTTGAGCATACACATCACTAGCATTTTTACACTCTGTCTTGTATTTGTGCTATATAAGAGGAAAGACCTGACAGAAGTGAACACAATCATAGCGTATCCTTTATCAGGAGAAAGGAGATAGTGTATCTTACCAAACAGAATGCTGTATTTTCAGGTACAGAATTTGTTTTAGCAAATTTTGAGAACACTTTGGTAAAAGCATCAGCATGTGAAGCTATTAAGAAATACTTTTAGGTATCTGATTCTTTCCATGCTATAGTAATGTGGGTCCAGCATTCCCTTTCGGTCATTGTTTAAGTAAATTTTATTTTACACTTAAAACTACATAAATGATATAAACTCCGTCCCAAGTGCAAACAATATATTTGTGTCTTTGATCTTGCACCCTACACTACATGTTTCGGCCTCAGACGGCCATCATCAGGTGTATAACACTCACGTCGCTGTCACACTGCACCCAGTTCAAAATTTAACATCTAAAACACTCTCCCTGTCATTATCAACTTCTACTTCGTTAATAGCTGTCCACGCGGCTAGTTCTTGTTTCCACACTGTATAGGTGTTATCCTGTGTGGTCTTTCTGTGTGCGTGCCTCTGCTATTCTTTACTACGTGTGCTATAGCAGAGGCACGCACACAGAAAGACCACACAGGATAACACCTATACAGTGTGGAAACAAGAACTAGCCGCTGCAGCACTTCAAACACAGGGCGAATAACCCTAACAATTTTAAAATTTTAAAATTTGGACAAGAATTTAAAAGTCTAAAATTAGAACTAAAGATTTTATTATGGTGCTATTACAATAAACTCAAAATTAACGCGTGTGAAGTAATCTACGGGTGGACAGCTATTAACGAAGTAGAAGTTGATAATGACAGGGAGAGTGTTTTAGATGTTAAATTTTGAACTGGGTGCAGTGTGACAGCGACGTGAGTGTTATACACCTGATGATGGCCGTCTGAGGCCGAAACATGTAGTGTAGGGAGCAAGATCAAAGACACAAATATATTGTTTGCACTTGAGACGGAGTTTACATCATTTATCGTATGGAGTGCAACAGGATGCTTAAATATAATATTTAAAACTACATATTTTTTCATATTGATCACTCATCTGCACAGAACTTTACTGAAATAAATAAATGTATTTTTGAAGTTTCGTTTAGAAATGTTTTCTCATCTGGTAGTACCAGAAATCATAATGGTCTGTGTGAAGGATGTATATGACCTTTACACCTAAGCTTTAGAACTAAGTTTCTGACCTAATGAACTATGCAGACTTTATATAGAGGGTTTCAATTTGAATATAAATATGGGTTTGCACCGAGAGCAGAAATCTGAAAATGAGTGTTAATGCTGAGGAACTGGAAGAATAGTGATGAAATTATATTATTATACTCCTTATATTCCAGTGGTGTGTTAACCTCTGACATTTGGCAATAACATATTTCTCCAGGGAAAACTATTTGGCATGACAGTTTGGATAAATTTGATTCAATACATTTGGAATCAAGAGATAATGATTACTACTTTATAGCTGGGTTTCTTGTTAAATATTCATATAGTTGAACATTGCCAGAGTTCGAAGTAATCAACATTAAAAACTTCATTGAACTCAACATATCTTTTTTATGCCTCTCCTAATTGGCAGAGCACTCTGGGGTAGACATATGACAGAACGTTACGGTAAATGGAGTTGAGCATATGACACATTAATCCTTCAGTCATTCTACCTGCTTACACATGTTGTAAGTATTTCATGTTTACAAAATTAAGTACAATTACTACAGAATTTTCAGTACAAAAGTTTAGTTCCCTAAGAAGGTATTTATTAATTTAATATAAATATTAAACATGACTCTGAAATAAGTACATTTTTATATCACAGTTTTACCATTCTGAACTTGCACATAATTTAACATCTTTTTATGTCTACATCACCTGTGTGGCATATTTTGTAGTATGGTTTGAAATTTGTTGGTACAGTTTGGATTTGACTATGTGGAGATGCAACTATTTTTTGTGCTGTACCATTAGGTCTGTGGGACCTTCCTATGATATTTTTCAGAAACTAAACAGCACATCAGAGCTCCATTTCATGTACACAGTTTTTTTTTTTTTGTGAATATTTAGCCTTGTTTATATTAATCCTTAACAACATGCATAGGATGGTTATAATTGGAATAATAGTATTACTTGTGATACCCATTTATGGTCTGACTGGTTTCCACATTGTTCTTGTGTCAAGAGGTCGTACTACAAATGAACAAGTCACTGGAAAATTTAAAGGTGGTTATAATCCTTTCTCCCGAGGATGTCCTCGTAACTGCTGCTACATTTTATGTGGACCACAGTATCCCAGGTCAGTGTATGTAATAGTTCTGAAACCTGATAAATAACATATTAGAGGCTAATCAACACACACAGACTCTGTGCTAATCATTTCATGTCCTAGAGAACATTAATGGTTTCTTTCGATTTTAATTACCCTGCAAGACAGTGTTTCTTTCGCACATGCAGGACTGTGCTAAAGGACATGACAAGACACATCACCAGCACAGACCTGCAAATATGAACTGAAATTTTGAACTCTGTGGTCTTTGTAGTGTTATGTCACACTGTTTGCCTTCTGCAACTCAGATTTTCACAAAAGTTGTTTCCAGGCTTGAGGTCATTCAGCATTCTTTGTGGTGTCTTAAGCAAATTGCATTGGATGAAGATGAAAAGTGTGTTTTTGTGAAAGAGTACAATTTATTTCTCACGATAATTTCATTAAAGAAAGTGGAAAATGTCTCAGTGTTTCAGTAATACATATTATTTTTAACACAAATTTAAAATTGACATTTATATCATGGTTAGGTATTGATAAAAATTATGTAAAGTGCCTAGATGAATTTGAAGTTAATATTTATTCTATACAGTAATTTGGAAGAAAGAGGGAATTTTGAAAGAATGTCAAAGTGTTCATATAGAATTTTGTTTTTTTCAAGCCTTAATGTTAGAATTACTGGGTTTTTGGACTTTTTCCATCGTCTGGAATTCTAGGTAATAGAGGACACAATGTTTCGGAAACTGGATCTGTTCCTGTCTCCAGGTGATCCAGTTTCTGAAACGGCGTGTCCTCTGTTACCTAGAATTCCAGATGATGGAAAAAGTCTAAAAACCCAGTAATTCTGTGTGTCATCCACCATCATCACAACCCTTCAGAATCTACTTAAAGTTAGAGCTGGTTTTCCTTTGGCTTTATACTACATCTCCATTGTGTATCACTCCCTTCAGGTTTTGTTTGCTGTTCTGTAAACCAGCTGATAGAATGGACAACCTTGGTGATGTCATCACTCATGCAGAAACAGGTTACTTCAAGGTTTCTGATTTAAGAACTCTCATTCAGAAATGTTTTGAAATTATGTGGCTGCCATTTTTTATATGTCCAGGAATAGTGTGAAATTGTCCTTCCTCTGTAAAACAAATATGAATCTAGTATTTTTTTCTCTCTCTCATTTCTTCCTCACGTCTACTCACTGATGAGCAAAAGCGGAATCATGTAACTGTGTTTTAGGACCTTTAAGGAAACTTCAGGGAGACCCACAGTTTCTCATGTGGCTTTCTTCTTTTTTGGAAACAAAAATTTTCACTGAAGGGGAGCACGTTTGATGATGACATGATTATAAACAATTGCAGGATGCTCTCGCTAATTTCAAAACATAGAATTTTTCAAATGCTTCTAACAATGGTGCAGTCACTAGACCCACATCACGCTTCAGGTGAACTGCTTAATAGGGGCTGTCTTGGAATGGCTGGTAAATGCAGTTTTCACAGAGGAAAAAATATGATCCAGAAGTAATTTCATCACACCAAAAATACCACCTTTAGTAAATTTTTATTAACTCTCAGAATTGTTTGTGATGAAGGAAAGCAAGATGAGTTTCTCTTCATTCAGAAATAAATTTTAAGAATAAATGTTTTGGCATTAAAGTATTTACTTGCAAATAAGCAATACATTTTGGTACCCTGTATTTCAGTCTGTTGAAGGCGAGTAAGTACGTGGCAAAGCCAAAACGGTACCCTTTGTCAACTTCTGCAATTTCAACTATTACCAATGAAAACCAGGTAAAAACCTACATGGATAACAGCAATGGGGTTAGAAATGCCAGTTCGAATGCTTACAATAAGGTAAGAGCCAGGATGCGCCCTTTGTATTTTGTATTGATTTTCAGTTCTGCTAGTTGCAACTTCTGTAGCTCTCTTATCTTGTGTAGTTGCATGCAAAATTCTTTATTTGTGCTGTTAATATGCTTCATATGGGAATTTTTTGTGTGTTTTTTATGTAAAATAGACTATTTGAAGCCACAGTTAATTTGGGTACTAGTCCATGAGTACTGATGTGCAGTATGTCAGACACAGGGGAAAATATGTTCCTGATAATGGAAATTTGATTTCATGCAGTATTATTATTGTATAGCGACTCCTTTTTGCTGTTTACATTACTTTAAATTAACTTTCTTTATAATTATAGTCAGAATATTGTTTAGTTCTTGTTAATAATAGTAAATGGGTTTTAGAGTAACTTCCTATCCTAATACTTTTACAAGAGCAGATTGTATTAGGACTTATATTGTGTTTCAAAACACTTATTTCCTGGCTACAATTCTTGATAGTGCTTATCTGGTCTGGTCTGCCACTCTTTCATTCTGTCATTGCACCCTCTTCTTCTTGCACTTTGCACTGCCAGAACTAAGTAACACCTTGTGTCACAGTACACGCTGTTTCACTTGTATACACATATTCACACTGTGACTACTACTTGCTCTCGGCAAGACTCATCTACACTCTTAAGAGGTCCACAACACCTGTATACAGATGAAGTCACTCCGGAAGCATCTGACTGGCTTTGTAGGCTGGGTGGTATGTGAACAGTCTAGAAGTTGAGGGGCAGTGGTGAGGGTAAGAAGTATCCAGAAAGAAAGGAGTGCATATGCTCCATTGCTGAGTTTGAGTCAGGTGACAATGTTCCCTTCTCAAGGCTGCTCATCTCGAGTAGCCCATAGGTATGGGAACTCTCCAGGTGTACCACCATTGTCTTCTCCCTGGAATAGCACTGGATCCTGTATACTACATCATTGATTCAGGTGATCGCTCTGTAAGGGTCTTCCAGGATGGATGCAGTTTAGGTGACTTTGCACTGGTATTGCTTGGGCAGTACCAACTGACTTGGTATCCTTCCTGGAATCCAGTTCTTTTGGTTGGAAGAGAGTATTGATCCTTCATCCTGACACTGGCCCTGGTAATCCTCTTGAGTGGTGCCTTGCTTTTATGCTGATTCAGCAGTCCCCAGCTCTGGGCTGGGGACTTCAGTGTGCTGCACAGTTTTCAGGCTGTTGGAACCTCCTCTCAACCTCGCCCTTTGTGTGTAGCTAGTGATACCACTGTCTGACCTTGTTTAGCATTTGCTTGACACTCAGCTCCCTTGTAGATCTGTTGTGGAGCTCTGAGTACTTCCTATATTTTGCTGTGGGGTAGAATTAATTGGACTCAGTGATATTCTTCTGCTTGGGAAGCTTTCCAGCTTCCACTTTCTGTAGAATTGGCCCCACAATGTCATCACACTGCTGTCCCCTCCTCAAGGTGGTCTGGTCCCAGCCATCCATGGCAGAAGCATTCGGTTCACCACTGTGTATACATTAATTACTATCTCCTGAAATTGAGCAACTTAAGTTTGGAACATGAAACTGTGATATATGAGAGACAGTAAATAGGTCACAAATGGAAGTAAAATACTGTAGCTGTAATGGATGTAATAGGTTTTGTGTGTGTGTCACGAGGTAGTAGCACAGTCTAGATTCATGACAGTGTAGGTAGCAGACAAATATGTTCATGTTCAGAGGCAGGTTTCAGTAGTTAAAATGGTGACTGCTAGAGGAGTTTAATACTGAAGAGCAGTGTTCTGTTGTCTGTTTTTAGTGGGCAAAAGGACTCAGTTCAAACATATTTATAAAGAAGTATTTACTGTGGAAAGTGTTTGTTGCATAAAGCAGTTCACAGTTGTGTTGAAAAATTCTCACATGGACGTTCAGATGTTGCAAATGATGTAAGGGAGATGCAGAATTGGCTGAGACAACAGTCAAAAAACTTGCATGCTGTGGATTTCAGTACACAAATAGATGGGACAGGTGTACAGGGTGTTCCTAAAAGAATGGTGGGGTTTTAGATATGTATATATTTCGTATTTCTTACTGTGTACAATCATAACATGTGTCAATCAGAAGCTTGACTGTCTAAATTTTGTGTACATCCATCAAAGTGCCTTTATGTGCGCACCTTTCGTTACCCGGCACACATCAATGCGATAGTCGAATTCCTGCCACACCTGCTGCAGCATTTCAGGTGTGATGGTCTCCACAGCACGATTGATTCTGTTTCGGAGATCCTGGAGCAATTGGGGCAATGGGGGTACATAAACCATGTCCTTCACGTACCCCCATAAGAAGAAATCACATGGAGTTATGTCCGGGGATCGGGGTGGCCACTGGAGAAGGGGGTCATCTTCACCTGCAGCACGTCCAATCCATCGTTGCGGAAGGACCAGATTAAGCAAACCTCACAATGCTATGGAAATGTGGGGGAGCACCATCCTGTTGGAAAATGTAGTCACTGGAATCATTGGCCAGTTGTAATGATTTTCTTGGGCTTCATTCATATGTCTCCCTCACTCTTTCCACATCTGCATGTGGCACACATGGCCGCCCAGAACTCTTGCCTTTACAGAGACATCCACTGTCCACAAACTGCCGGTACCATCTGCGAATGTTGTTTTCATGTGGCGCCTCCATCTAAAAATGTACTCAAAATTCACGGCACACTGTAACGATGAATTTAGACACCTCAAATCTCAGCATGCAATAGGCCTTCTCCTGCTGGGTCGCCATCTTACATTTATGCCTCCTAACTGCTGGAAATGGAACTAGGAAAGAGCGCGATATACAAAATGAAAATTTGAGAGCTGCATTTGAGTCCGTATACATTTTGCTTTTCATCACCAAAAACTGACAGAGATATATGGCAATGAAACCCCACCATTCTTTTAGGAACAACCAGAATAAGTGGTAGTGGACTATATTTTGAGAAATACATGTTTTCCCAAGTTTGAATATCATATATTTTGCATTTTATGTCCATTTGTGACCTGTTTACAGACCCTCCCTCTTATCAGTTTATGCTCTGAGGTTCTGTGTACTTCTGTTCAAAAGATTAGATTTTCCATTTTAATATTCACCCACCTACATCCTGTTCTTCCTTGTAGTCTCTTTCCTTCTGGCTTTTCCACCAATATCCTATATGCATTCTTCTTCTCCCCATTCATGCTACATGCTTTGCCCATATCATCTACCTTGACTTGATCATTCCAGTTGTATTAGGCGAAGATTACAAGTTATGAAGCTCCTCATTGTGCAGTTTTCTTCAGCCACCTGTCACTTCATCTGTCTTCAATCCAAATACTCTCCTCAGCTCTGTGTTCTCAAACACTCTCAGTCTATGTTCCTCCATTAATGTCATACAAAGTTTCACACTCATACAGAACCACAGGAAAAATTATAGTTTTGTATATTTTAAACTTTTAACATACTACATTGTGAAAATAGAAGTTTTACCCATGATTTTATTTTCAGGCTCCTTTTCACACTCTGGCAGTCATATATTAATTTGAACACTTTGTGGATTTATGGATCTGTATATGAATTTTAGATAGGCACAAATAGCCTTAGATTCTGATACTTATTACATGCATGTGCACACAAGAAACACTTGAATGCATCATGCATTGGCATATCATTATGCTTTTTAATTATGACTCGAGAGGTATTAAAGCTACTCTCTCCAGGTTTCTTGATTTTTTTACTTTTTTAATACAAAGATTGTCAGTTTGTTTATATTATAGTCTCTCACTGTGCTCAGTTTGAATTTATTTTTCCAAGTTGTAACAGTTCTCTGCTCATGAAGTTTTGAAGGACTCTTCAGAAGCCATAATATTTTACAATGAGAAAATTATCTTAATAAACCTAGCAGAATTTATTTAACAAAAAGCAAATGAAGTTGAATGTGAATGAACAGAATTATACAATGGGGTTCTTTGTGAAGTGCTGCTAGTATTGTTAGGGTAATTAAATGAATTTATAATGGTTGGACATGTAGCTTCACTTGGAGGACAAGGAGGTGTGCATTATTTAGTTTGGTTGGAATATTTCATGGAAAGCAAATATGTGGAAGACTTTAATGTTAATGAGAGGATATCAAATTGGAGAGCAGAGAGATTGGTTTCAGTATTCATGATTTTTATTGAACTGGACAGGGATTGGGTCCGTGGATTGTCCTTATTGTTTGTGTTGAATTGTCTTGTTCTAATACCAAAGACTTCTCTAACAAATGATAAATGTGTTGATTGTTATTGGATCATCTGTGACTGAAATTTTGCTGTGAGCACCACCTTGGTATTGCTAATGTGAGGAGATGCTGGAGGAAATGCAGGTCATTATTTTAAGTCAGTGCCTTACACTGATACAAGAACTTTCAAATTATTACAAATTCAGGTTTACACGCAGTTCCTTTACAAGAATTTTTTCCTCTCAGGAAACAAGGCTTAAATATCCACATTCATTTGGCTATTAAGACTTGTTAACTATTTGCAAAATCTTTCACAGTATTTGGTGGGGGAGGGTAATTATAAATTTTATGGAATTATTGCGAGAACTGAGCCAATATTTGTAGGCTATGTGACTAGAATACAAAATGCTAAAAGTGGGAAGAGGGCAGTATTAAAACTCATGGTATTTCAGTTTTAATTTTAAATGGTAAGTGCTCTAAGTATAAAATAGGTACACAAATTAACATACCTAGAGAAGAGATATTAACAGCCCGCTTTTTAGCGTATGTGTTAAAAAGAAGGGAAATTTGTTCTTCCAGGACATCATAAACTTTCCAGTGAGATATCTCTATTTGCTGTCCTTTTGATTGGCAGGTTTACAGTGATATGCTGATTAATTTTAATTGTACAGTGGTTGGTTTTGAAAACTTGCCTATGCATGATTAATTGCTTTGTCAAAGCTTGGCTTACTTTTAGATATGCAGAGTGGGGATCCTGGCATATTTGTGTTTGTATGTGTGTTTATGTGTATACA